CTTGCCATAGGGGGAAGGGGTCTCCCCCAATCCTAGGACTGTGATTCTAGGCTTCAGTTATCCATGCAAGGCCAGCGTGCCCATTCTGGATCATAGGATCTTGGACTGGAAGGGACACCCAAGGGCCATCCAATCCAACCCCCTTCAGTGAGTAGGGAACAACAAGCCCTCCTGACAGATGGCCCTGCAGCCTGCTTTGTATATCAATGCAAGACCAGCGTGCCCATTCTGCATCATAGGATCCTGAGCATGGAAGGGACCCCCAAGGGTCATCCAATCCAACCCCCTTCAGCGAGGAGGGAACAAGCCTTCCTGACAGATGCCCCTGCAGCCTCCTTTGTATATCAATGCAAGGCCAGCTTGACCATTCTGCATCATATGATCTTGGACTGGAAGGGACCCTCAAGGGCCATCCAATCCAACCCCCTTCAGTGAGTAGGGAACAACAAGCCCTCCTGACAGATGCCTCTGCAGCCTTCTTTGTATATCAATGCAGGGCTAGCTTGCCCATTCTGGATCATAGGATCTTGGACTGGAAGGGACCCCCAAGGGCCACCCAACCCAACCCCCTTCAGCCAGGCAGGAACACCAAGCCCTCCCAACAGATGGCCATCCAGCCTCCTTTGTATCATTTATACAAAAACTAATATGTAGAAATGGAAGATGAAATATTGAGACAGCAAAATCTAAGACCAGCAGGGTGACAAGAATATTATTTATTAGGCATGGGCCAAATTCCTAGGAATTGTGAGAGTTGAAGTCCAAAACACCTGGAGGGAGGGCCAAAGTTGGCCCATATCTGCTATATATTCATCAAGAGAAGCCCCCCCCCCTAAGAAATTGCACAGAATCACACAATTCCGGAGTTGGAAGGGACTCCCAAAGGTCATCCAGTCCAGCCCCCTTTCTGCCAGGCGTCAAGGCGCCATCCAGGCTAGTGACTCCATGCTGCAGGGCCCCAGAGGGAGGGCCGGGCCATCCATCCACCCGCCCCACTGTCACTGGAAAGGAGCGTCTCTGCTGGAACAGGCAGTGCAGACGGGGGCGAGGGTTGGCGCCGACCCAAGAGGCTGAGCCACCCGAGGCAGGCACAGGGGCAGCTCTTCAGATGGCTTTGGCACCCCTTTCAGTGCCGTGGCTGAGTGCTATGGAATCATTAGGTTGTAGATTTGCAGGATTTTGAGCCTTCCCTGCCAGGGAGTGCTGGTGCCCCACTAAACTACAACTCCCATAATCCCACAGCATGTTCAAGTGGGGACAAAGTGCAACACTTCTACAGTGTAGAACAAGCATGGACAGATCTTGAATTGTGTCTTCCTGTTTGACCGAAGGGAGTTGGACTGGATGGTCTTTAGGATGCCCTCAACGCTAGTGGAATATGAAGCACCTGGTGGCGACTCCTTTCCAACAAGGCTGGATGGCCATCTGTCGGGAGAGCTTTGGTTGGGTGTTCCCTGCACTTGTATGTTTGAGCTTGGTCTTATGCCACACTTCTACCAATTACTCAAAAGTTTGGAAGATGATTGCAATATTTGACAATTGGAGCGAGAATGGTTTATGCTCAGAGATGGAAGGAAAGACTGCTCTCAAGGCGAGAAGGAGAGAGGAACAAGATCGCAGAACAGGCTTTAAAATGTTTTTAACTGTTGTACTACATGCAGTCAGGACCGTGGAAGTGCAGCAGGCTACGCCACTAGCTGCAGGAAATCTGCTGACTGGAGGGTTGGCAGTTCAAAGCCACGGGTTGGGGTGACCTCTCAACTGTTAGCCATAGCTTCTGCCAAACTAGCAATTCAAAAGCATGCAATATGAGTATATCTGTTGCAACTCAGAGTAAACTTTGCCTTGCTTCCAAACACTATCACACAAAAACTGTAGTTTTATAGTTTATTGAGGAAATAGTCCAAGTCAAAATAAAGAATAAGCATTGCAAAGTTCCAAATATTATGATTAAATGCAGAATATAGTTCCAAAGATCTTCAGGTAAAAACAAGAGGCACAATCCTATAGGCAAGGTTCAAAACAGAGTCCATGGTACAAGCAGTGAAACAACTGCCCCAAGAATCACAATGCAAGAAATCCCAAGCGTGCTATTCCATGAAGTTTTCAGGCTAACAAGCTACGTTGAACTGACACTTTCCCTTCGTATGCAAGAAGCCTAAATACCTTTTGCTAACATGAAAACATTATACTCTCACCAACATGAAAGCATTGCGATGACCTTTCCCTGAGCTGGCTTCTTGTCTGCTGGCTAGGCAAGAACTCCGCCTGACCCGCAAATCAAGACGGGCTTGCTGGGTTAGGTCACTATCAAGGCTTTCTGCACTTTCACTATCAGCGTGGGAAGGCAAAGGCCTCTCCACCTGTTCGCTATCTACTTCGTTAGCATTCATTTCCTCTGAAAACCGCTGACTCTGCACTGTCTGTGGGAGCCTCAGAAAAAGACCTAGAAGCAGGCCCAGGGATCTGAGACACAGAAAAAGAGCCAGGAATCTGAATCCCATCATCCTCATCATCAGAGAACATATCAGGCCCAGAATCACGCTGAACCACAACAATATCAATAGTTGCCACCTGAGCGGGAAGGTAAAGGGGCGGCCCATGCAGACATGGAGTGCTGGTGCTCCACTAAACTACAACTCCCATAATCCCACAGCATGTTCAAGTGGAGACAAAGTGCATCTCTTCTACAGTGTAGAACGAGCATGGACAGATCTTGGATTGTGTCTTCCTGTTTGACCGAAGGGAGTTGGATTGGATGGTCTTTAGGATGCCCTCAACTCTAGTGGAATATGAAGCACGTGGTGGTGACTCCTTTTTGAAGGAAGGGTTCCAACAAGGCTGGATGGCCATCTGTCAGGAGAGCTTGGGTTGGGTGTTCCCTGCATTTGTATGTTTGAGCTTGGCCTTATGCCACACTTCTACCAATTACTCAAAAGTTTGGAAGATGATTGCAATATATGACAACTGGAGCGAGAATGGTTTATGCTCAGAGATGGAAAGAAAGAGTGTTCTCAAGGCGAGAAGGAGAGAGGAACAAGATCTCAGAACAGGCTTTAAAATGTTTATAACTGTTGTACTACATGCAGTCAGGGCCGTGGTAGTGCAGCAGGTTAAACTGCTGACCGGAGGGTTGGCAGTTCAAAGCTGCGGGTCAGGGTGAGCTCCCAGCTGTGAGCCCTAGCTTCTGCTAACCTAGCAATTCAAAAGTATGCAATATGAGTATTATTATTATTATTATTATTATTATTATTTAGCAAAATCTCCCGAAGGACTCGATGCGGCTTGCAAAGGCCAAGGCCACCAACAAAACAACAGCATACAAATACAACAGTAAAACTCATAAAGCAAATAATAAAACATCAAGCAAAACAATAACACACTAAAAACAATAACACCACGACGCATTTAAAACCTAAGGCCGGGCCAAATGTAAGAGACAAAATTTAAAAAGTGCTGGACTTGACAGGAGGTATGTAGAGGTTTTTGGAGGTAAGTGCAATGTGCAGACAATCCTAAATCTCTGACAAGGTGCATTTGGGGCATGATGCCAGGAGTTTCCTATTCTGGAAAGGCACACTGGAACAGCCACGTCTTCAAGCTCTTCCTAAAGATTGCCAGCATTGGGGCTTGTCTGATGTCCTTGGGGAGAGAGTTCCAGAGTCGGGGGGCCACCACAGAGAAGGCCCTGTCCCTCGTCCCCACCAGACGCGCTTGCGACGCCGGTGGGATCGAGAGCAGGGCCTCTCCAGATGATTGAAGGGAACGTGTGGGTTCGTATGTGGAGATGCGGTCATGCAGGTAGGCAGGTCCCAAACCGTTTAGGGCTTTGTAGGTGAGCGCCTGCACCTTGAATTGGGATCGGAAAATGAACAGCAGCCAATGGAGCTCCTTAAACAGGAGGGTTGACCTCTCTCTGTAAGGCTGGCCGCCGACCGTTGCACCAGTTGGAATTTCCGAGCCGTTTTCAAGGGCAGCCCCACGTAGAGCGCATTACAGTAGTCCAATCTAGAAGTGACCAAGGCATGGACCACTAGGTGTTGGCTCAGGGGGAAGGTAAGAGGGCACCCCATGCAGACATGCCAGCAACTGATTGGAGATGTCTATAGGCAGCAGGCTCCTCGGCATGGGAAATGGAACAAGAGCACCTCCCCATGGCTGGAGTTGAGCATTGCCTCCAGACGCCAGAGATGGAAAGGGAAGGCCTTTGTATGCCATTGTGTTCACTGTGTAAAAGGCATTGAATGTTTGCCTAGGAAGGACAGAAAGAAAGGAAGGAAGGAAGGAGGGAATGAAGGAAGGAAGGAAGGAAGGAAGGAAGGAAGGAAGGAAGAGAGAAGAAAGAAGGAAGGAAGGAAGGGGGCAGAGAAGAGAAAAGAAAAGAAGAGAAGGAAGGAAGGAAGGAAAGAGAAGAAGAAGGAAGAAGGAAGAAGGAAGGAGAGAGAAGGAAGAAAAAGGAAGGAAAGAAAGGAAAGGAAGGAAGGAAGGAAGGAAGAGAGGAAAGAAGCTAAAAGGAAGGGAAGGAAGGGCAGAAAGAAGAAAAGAAAAGAATGAATGAATGAATGAAGGAAGGAAGGAAAGCAGGAAAGACTATAAAGAAGGGAAGGGAAGGAAGGAAGAAAGGAAGGAGAGAGAAAAGGAAAGACTAAAAGGAAGGAAAGAAAGGACAGAAAGGAAGGAAGGAAGGAAGGACTAAAAGGAAGGGAAGGAAGGAAGGA